AGTCATGTGTGAAAATTACGTTTTGTCCACTGACAGCTCTCTCAGAATTTTTTTTTACGCTCACGGCGTTTTATGCGCTGGAATGCGTCCGTGATGGAACGTGTAAAGTGATTAATTGAAAATCAGCGTTACTGCTTCTGCAGGAATTTTAAGCATGTAAGAATTTACATCCTATTTCATTTCCGAAATTGATATATATATAGAATAACATTTATATGTAGATGGTAATATTTATATAATAGTGCGCCACCTGTGTCATCCCTTTGTATATCGTTTTCTCAATGTGTAGAATTTTGAATCTACCCAAAGGTTGTCTGGAAGAGATATGCTTGTTTTATAGCGATAAGGCAATATTCTTTTTTTCAAACGATTCTCTCCTTTTGTATCACTGTTCTCATTAATATTTACTATGTTTGTTATTTCTCAATCTATTAAGTAATATTTTTTTTTTACTTGGACTTATTGGTCTAATAAACTTCGTTGTAACTTTTTTCAGGTTTCCGAACCATGCACATCTGTGATACTTTCCAGAGCGCAGGATATAATATATATATATATATATATATATATATATATATATATATATATATATATATATATATATATATATATATATATATATAAGTGTTACAAATAAAACTTTTGTTTCTATATTATGTGTTACTTTTTATGCTGAATAATATCCTTTTTTGTGGAAGATAAACTTTTAAGCTTGTTATCAGTGTATTGTTACAGCTTAAATGTTTGTAAAGCTTTTTTATCAAACATATTCCTACTTTGGTGCCACTTTCTACAAATTTTTTCAAATTTTTTCCCGTATCTCTACTGTTATGTGTGCCCGATCTTTTTCCTCCAGGCATGGAATGGGCTGCTTCTTGTATTAGGTTGGTTATATAAAATGTCGCATCATCTAGATCTTCTTCAGTTTTTAGATTAATCTTTCCTTTCCAGTAAGTGTAGTAAAAGAGCCAAAAATGTACCTACATGACTAAGGAACCGTGATGGAACGTGTGTGATTAAGAAAAAAGGAGCATGGCATTTCACGAAATTGTCCTTTTGTATCACTTCTCATTAATATTTACTATGTTTGTTATTTCTCTTTTTACTTGGTGCAATAAAGTGTAACATAAATAATATATATATATATATATATATATATATATATATATCATCAAAACCTGACATCGCTTAAATGTTGTCAACGCCAGGTGCGTTGGGACGGTTGTCAACGCCAGGTGCGTTGGGACTAAGCGTGGGAACTAATGGCAAAATACTTCTTATGAGGGAGGCCTATGTCCAGCAGTGGACAATTAACGGCTGATATCGTGATGATGATTAGTGATAGGTATTTAACTGTGTACCAATGTGTTTACATGTTATCCATAATCTAAGGTATAGAATCATTGTTTTTCTTTATTCAATAGCTTATCAGCGTCTATAATCAATGTGGTCCGTTTGGAAATTTTATATATTAATATCATTAACTAAACTATCAGATAATCCTCGAATCATAATTAATAAATGGTAAACACAGCATACAGGTTGAATTTTGTAAATGGAACATGTTGCCACACTTTTTTTTTTTAAATGTTATGATTAACATATACAGTTTTTTTTTTTAGAAACCAGTTATATATCTGTGACATAATTAATACTATAAAACCAATGTAGAAATAAACTGTTTGAATCAAAAAATAAATACATATATTTGCCAATTAGTTAATAACTATCAAATTCGTTTAAATAAATGCTTAATTGATTATTAATCAATAAATGCTTAATTTACTTAACTAACAAGTGAATTCATTTGAAAGTAAGTACTTACCGACAGAGTAATTAAGGTTCGAATTTTAATTAGGAAATTTTTAGAATATAATATTTATATTTTAATAAGAAATTTTTTTAATATAAAATTGTTTATTTTAACTCAAGCACTAAGATTTTAATATTACCAAAAAAATATTTTAACATGTAATCACTACAAAGAGAAAACAAAAAAAAACAAATACAGTGGGATTTTTTTTTGTTTGTCACTACTAGTGACTAACCTTCACATAATATTACACATACAAATATATGCTTTACAAGCGTCAAAGTAGTATTACACAAAATTCCCCGTGACACGTGAGGTGCCTGTGACAATTTTTTTTTCTCTGACTATTCCATTTTTCCAACAAAATTTTTTTAATATTTTTTTACCTTTATTGAAGTTTTATTTAAATAGACTATATACTTTGAATGTCAATTTTTCTTCTACAAATCATATAAATTCATCATACAATAATTTAAACTCATACGATTTTTTAAATACTACTAAATATTTTTCTTAATTACCCTAAATTGCTAAAACATTCCTCAAACTGGCAACACTAGCTAAAGATCCGTTCCTTCGTATGACGTCAAACTTATATAGTGCTTTCACGAACACAAAGATAAGGATAATAACTTATTAGTACATAAATATGTTCATTTTAATTATTATTGTTTACACAATACGTTGTATTTTTTGTGTCAATTGTAATGTAAAACAATATTGTTGTCGTTTCAGCATTTCAGATGTACAAACACACAAGCCAATAGAATAATGACCAAACTACTACTACAGCTGTTTAATGATGAAATAATGTTTTTAATTAAAATTCTTTTATTATAATATTAATTGGTATAGTTTTTTATAATAAATTTTTGTATATTGCATTAAATACCATATCGTTTTTAATAGGGAACCAGATGTAGTGTAACGATTTAACATACCTCGTTAATTATTTCACAGCTTAATTTTGTATACAATATCATCATCATACATCAAAGAATATCTATCTATCATTTTGCAACGATTATTTCAAAATTGATAACAGTTATGTTTCCTTTTGCCATGTGCTGATGGTGCTAGCATAGAATAAGGCATCTCTTCCTTTCCCTTGGATGTAGGAAGAGGCGATTAAGTGAATATAATGGTGGAGGGATTTTTCCAAAAATAACCGTGAGAAGAGAAATATCAAAAATTTTGACAACGCATTCATCTGTTAAAATGGGAGGTTCATAATTATTGTAAAATCACATCACTAGTGTATATGGTACATCACTAGAGGTGGACACGGATTGGTTGATTAATAAGATTGTATAATAATGGCTGACTGAGTAACGAATAAAGGTTCTGCAATAATGTATTTTATGTAATTTATAATATGTAGTTTGTATTATTTTTTGTATATACCTATATCTTATGTGTTTATGCAATATATGCAGATCGTATGACTGCCTATTTTTATTTTTAAAACAACACAATTTACATGAAAAGGTTTTGCTGGAAGAAGTCTCTTATTAGAGATAAGCTCGCCTTTGTACATTATGTTTATAATGAATTGTGATTAACAGTATGTTTTGTGTACAGTAAAGAATAAATAATTAAATAAACCATCTATTATTAAAAATATAACACATAATATTTAGGGTTTTTAATTCCATATTTCTTTGAAAATATAGATTCGCTAATAGATTCCTTTAAAAAGACAAAACTAATATCAATATATTGTTATTATATGTAATATGTACAATACCTACAAGCGTTGCTTAGTCATGTGATTACCAAATGGTTAGGACACAACCGTTTCATAATAGACAAAGCAATTGTTATTAGTTATATTTAATGACTTTCTGATAGTTTCGACCATTTTTATACACTAATATTTTTTGTTATTAATTTTATGACAATGTTTTGTTTCAATATTTTATTTCTTGTAAATGTAATTTAGTTATTTTCCAATAGTTATGTTTTTATTATAATACTTAATATTTTAATATTTTTAAATTTTAAAGCTCCTGTATAGTTAAGTATATTTACAAAAGGTGTTTATATTGAATCAATTTATTTAATGACACGTTTTGGATTTGACCTCGTGTCCATTTCATGATGAATAAAAAATATATGCTCACGACCGTAATACCTGATGGGGTGGACAGAGGCATTTGTCGGCTGGTGCCGTTGTGTTGAACGTAATACTCGACATGACCACAATTAGCCAAAAAAATTTTAGTCCCACGTAGCAGACATGAATGAACCTGACTTGTTAACGGTGTTTTCCCTCACCAGAGAATCAATTAAAAACTTATATTGACACACAGTTTGTGTCGCCTAGAACCGAACTCGAGATATGAAGCCTAAAGCTTTGGATAGCTTACAAACGACAAATTTTGTTTTTATGATATATTAATATATAAGTTAAATTATAGTTTATAATACATAATATTATAAAGTAAAAAAAAATTAAAAATAATAATTAAAAAAGACTTGTATCCATACTAGATAAGTACTTACTAATCACTTACATGGTATTGAAATTCACTAACAAGTAAGTATTGACATAACTACATTACTAAATATATACATAATTACATAAAACAATTTATTTAGAATTTTTATTTTTATCGCATTACGTAGGTATTATACCTATTATGTACTTCTACTTTTGACATTATAACCAACAAAAACAATTTAAAATTACCCCACTATGTCATAAATTTTATCAAGTACCTACCTACTTGCCTTTTTTTTTAAAGCATTCAGTTATATATTTCCAGCTTCTTTGTTTAATAACGACTGAAAGTATAAAAGGAACTACAAAAAAGGAAATATAAAAGAAATTTCAAAATTAAAATAAGTGCCAAGGATTCTTTTATCTCGTAAAATCCAGACGTTACCTGATTCGACACCCGGCGTATTAATAACAATAAGGCATAACTTTTTTTTGTTACACAGGAATGCTTCGAGGAAGTATAAAATACGACACGAACAATATTTTTCAATGTAGTTATAACTTATTATTATTATTTTACACAGAAATAATATTTGACATAATAATAATTATACTTATACACAAATAATAATAATTTATTATAATAATTTACATGCATCTATAATTAACGCATAAAATAAAATAATAATAACATGCAATCTAAACTAGTACATAAAAAAAAATTACGACATAAATTATACTCACTTGCTGTTTTGTAATCTCTGGTCCCCTTATTACTAATATCACAGGATTTTATAAAAAAAAATTAATTATTATAAACGCTTATTTAATATATTAATATACACACACACACACTAATAATAAATAAATAAAATTACTTATTTACACTTTTATAATTATATTTACACAATAATATTTACACTGGCCAGTTGGCACATCAATTACATTCCAAAGTGTTCGTTTTTTGAAATTGTAAAGAAATGCATTTACATTTTTAGTAGCGCGAAAAGTTCGATTTCGAAATTCGAAAAGTGACAGCACGGCAGGTGTGTATGGAGTCGCGACCGCGAGGGAACTGTCGTTCAGGTAACCGTCCCATGCTTTTAATATCAGGTGGACAACTCAATCGCTGATAATGATAAGAATACAAAGCGTCGCGTCGCCAACAGATGGGGGTGACTCGCATAAAGCCGCAGTTGGACCGGTTTTGCACGACACGGTCAACGCACGATGCGAGCGTGTGAACCGGGAATCATTTTTGTTATACTGAAGAACTTTTCTTTTTTTTTTTTTTATTCGCGCTTTGCTTCGCGTACACGGACTGGCAGATTAAAAATAAATTAGCCGATTGTTAAATATAACTTATTCCATTTGTCGAATGTGAGTATCACTTTTTCATCGTTTTGAGCACAAAATAAGCATAACATTATAACTTGATTCTTCTATAGAATATTAGGGATGGCTAACAAGCTGGCAAAGTGACAACAATTGTATTAGCAGCATACAAAGGATAGAATGTATTCTGGTATCCATATCAACTTCACAGATCACTGGATATTTTATGGGATATTTATTTATTTATTTATTTAACTCTTCATTGCACTAGAAATATAAAAATAAAGAATGACATATAAACAATTCAAGTGAAATACAGTAGCATAAAGTACAGATTAAAATATAATACTTATATAAAGGTACAAAAGGCCATCTCATCGCTAGGACAATCTCTTATAGACGACCTTTGGTTAAAGAACATGGGTTAAGTAAATATATTTTTATGAGACATGGATTTATTAGTAACAGAATCAGAAAAACTTCTACGTGGTCACACATAACAACCGGGGGGAAAAGGATTGTTAGCAATGGAGTTTGACAGCCACATTGCTAGCAATATGCCTTATTAGGTCGACATCCACGTGGTTCCCCCTGGCAACCATCGAGAACAATTCTTGTTGAATTCGTCACGATGGGCTAACTGACTTACTTCATCCTCACCTATCATCCTTCATTGGTGCCCCACCGGTGTATACCAATAGCACGGGTGGGGTTACCATTCCATTATCATCCATTAAAAAAAAAATTAAGTAAATAAAGCATAATGTAGGTAATGCGTTTGCGTCAGCTGCCCATTGTCCTTACGTAAAGTCCAGTTTGATTACGGAGTCGTAAGGTATTAATCGAACAAAAAAAAAATAACAAAACAAAATCGGTATAAGTATATCGGTATTACTCCAATATCTATATATTGGGTTCCTCTGAATATTTATGGTGGGAAAAAGATCATCACCGATTTTGATATTGCCCATACCGGTTAGATATTAATTTCAATTAGACTCTTCACTTCGATATTATATATTGAATAACTGATATCCCGTTAGCGCAGGCGAGGTTACCATACCATTACCATTGTCACCCATCAAAAAAAAAACATATTTGGGTGATATATATGTTAGATGTTGTAACTACAATATACAGATATACTATACCCGCCCATAATACAAAAAGGTAATGTTCCCGAAATCTTGTATACGCTGCGTCGATGTGGCATACAGGAAGGTTATCAATAATACTGGTCATATTTAATATTACCAAGATTGTTCTTAAATTAAAAATAAAATTTTATTTTTAATTTTAGTTCGAAATTCGACATTTGTAATCTGAGAGTTACAAAAAACATTCGTTGTGTTAAAGTTTAAGCGAGTTCGCAGATACGTCACTGGATAATTAATGCGATGTAACTTTTTAAAAAGGCAAAGATAAAGGTTGCTTTTTAGGATTCTTATACTTAACAAATTCAGCCAGAAGTCTATCGTAATTTTTAAGTTATAAAAAGGCGGCAACTCGTCCGTCAGCGTGACAAAGTCAATGTTGTCAAGTTGACTATGACATTGACTCACGCCATAAGAATTTGTATTCTTATGTCCATAAACGGTAAATCGATATAATCACTATCATTATAGTATAATAATAACATTACCTTATTATAATTACATTACTAATTACTTAACCTAAACTTTATTAATACAATAAATGCGAAAAGTAACAATGAAATGGATGAAATCTTGTTACTCTTTCAAGTAAAAACTACTGAACAATTTCGAATAAAATTTGATACACGGGTAGGTTATATTCTAAATAAACACGTAAAATACTTTATATAATGATTCAGGCGGATGAAGTTTCAAGAAACAGGTAGTTACAAATATAAAATGATACTTTCTTTTTTTTTTTTTCTTTAAAGAATGAGTCGGTACATCATAAACGCTTTATAAACTATTATTTAATATACAAAACCCTGTCCGACCCTCCGTCTGTCAGCACCACAATAGATATGGCTTGTAAGTTGTTATGCCATCGCTCTCAATGACATTGGTACCATAAACAATATATCTCAATATATTTTATTATTATTCTCTGTACATAGTATAAAACAAAGTCGCTTCCCGTCGTCTGTACTTTGGAATATTTTAAACTACATATTTTATTGCGCTTTTCATAAATAAATAGACTGATCGAGAGGAAGGTTTATATGTATAGTTTAATATTAACCTTTAAAACTGCCTTTAACTGATCACTGCTGATCATAAGTTTCTCCTTTGGTGGGGTTTTGACAGTAGTTGCCACCCTTGGCAGGCGGATTGTCAACCACAGTCAGGCTTTAGAGATGTTTTAAGAGGGACGCTGCTGTCCTTTCCTCGCCCTTCCTTAGTCGGCTCTTACGATACCAACGGGATAGGAAAGGGTGGCCTGTTCTATGCCGGGACCACACGGCTAATAGTATAGTTTAATACTGTTTATTGTTAATTTGTTGAAATATGACGATAATTGTTCAAGAGGTTGGATGAAATTAAGTTACCTAAGAGCTTTCATCTGAAATATATGTACATATATATGGACTACAAAAAAGTTAGCCATGGCATTCTATATTAGGTATACAGATAACTTTTTATAACCATTTCAATATATAAAAAAAAAAATTAAAATTAAAAATTACTTACAGTTTGGAAAGCTATTTAGACTACACTTCTACATTTCACCCGTGCGAAATGGGAGCGGATTACTAGTTTAAAATATATAATGTAATATGCAAAAAATACAGTGGAATTGAGAAATTCCACCCTTTTTTTAAAACCCACTTAAAAAAAACTCACAGAGTAACACCGAGATCATTTATTTAATGCTCTTTTAGAAGAGTATTCTACAAAACAAACGGAACATTTTTCCCAAAGAAACAAGACGAAAAGAACAAAAAACGTAAAGCCTCCCATGCTTCGAGCAACTTGAGAGTTGAGAGTTGAATGCACCATCATTGAACTGCATGCCATTCAGTTGATAGAACTTTATTTATTCTTGTGTGCGTATAAATGTGTGCGTGTGAGACTTCTGAATTTATATAGAATTGAAAATGCAAAAATAACAAAAAAAAAACACGTATTTGTTATAATATTAAGTTAAATTCGTGAACTTCTCGAGCTTTATTTGGGTTTAATTAGATATTTGTGATTATTATACAATACTGCATTTTAAAAAGACAAATATTTAAAACGTAAATATTCTAATCTAAGTTATATCCAGTTTAGAGTATTATCAGAGTATTATCGCACGTTGTACAACCAATTACATGTACTTAAAACATATATATATACACACACACACACACACACACACACACACACACACACATATATATATATATACATATATATATATATATATAATTAGAATTTCTTTTGATGACAGTGAGTGTCAGATCAAATCCGCTTCGAGCTTATATTGTCTAGGTGAATGACCTACTTGTCTACCATTCTAACTTGTGTGTTAATATGTTTTTTTTTTTCTTTTTTACATAATCAATCAATATAAATTTAATTTAATGTGTATAAATTTAGATTATGAAGTATGTAGTTTACAATGTAAATTTATTTTCTAATGTCATATTATTTTGTACAATGCCAATTATACAGTCCGCCTTATGGAAAGGGATTACTGTAATCTACGAATGCCAATTTGTACGATTCCACAATCATATTTTCTTTTAAAAATGACCAGATTGATGTGTGTGTAAGTATTTTACAGAACTAGATGTTATTTTGCGGAAATCTATATCACTGGGTGCTTAGAGATATTTTTTTAATAGTAGTTAATCGTCCAATTTTTTTCTTTTTGCAACATCTATATATTACCCCAATATGTTTTTTTTTTGATGGATGAAAATGGTATGGTAATCCTGCCTGCGCTAACGGGATACGCTGGCGGAGCACCAGTGAAGGGTGATAGATGAGAATGAAAACAGGCCAGTTAGCCCATCATGATGAATTCATCAGGAATTAACCATGATAGTTTCCAGGGAGAACCGCGAGGAGGTTAACCTGGTTGGGTACATTGCTAGCAATAGGATTCTCATTCTCCATTACTAACAATCCCTTTCCCCCCAATCGTCCAATGTTGGCAGTCACACGCATACTAATGATAGCGAAATTAAACAAAATAATTGTAACCCACTAATCGGTGACTTACGTGTAATCAGATTAAATAATACTTAATTTTTCTGGTTTCAAAAACGCTATCATTAAATTGAATGAATTGATAAATAGGTGAAATAATTATAAATAGATAAGTACTTACTTATCAAGTTAACAAAACTATGTCTTACAGGTTTTAATAATTGAGAAATGTGCACCAGAGTCCCTCTTAAAACACCACCAAAGCCTAACTGCGGTTGCCTACCCGCCAAGCGGGAGGGGAAATGAATTGTTAGTAATGGGGTCTAACAGCTCCATTGGTAGCAATGTACCCTACCAGGTCGACTTCCACGCGGTTCCCCCTGGAAACCATCGTGGTTAATTCTCGTGAATTTTTTCACGATGGGCTAACTGACCCGCTTTCATCCTCACTTATCACCTCCCACTGGTGCCCCGCCAGCGTATACCGATAGCGCAGGCGGGGTTACCATACCATAATCATCGATTAAAAAAAAGATAAAAAACCGCCAAATGTAGCAACTACTGGCAAAATCCCCTTTTTGGGGAAGATATTTAGCAGTGGATAGTAGACGACTGACATAAAGGTGATGATGATAAATCCAGTT